TTTTTTTCTGCAACTTTTTGATAGTGCTCTAGGCAGAGCAAGTTAAAAAGCTGACTCAGCTCAGGTTTCCTTCTCCATAATTTACAGGGCCTTATAATTTTTTGGTTGTGTCATCTTTGTAGAAATGTTTTGTTTTTTTTTTAAGTGCTTGTGGGAACCATATTGTTCTTTCCTGTCAAAGATAATAGAAAGGCATGTTCAGCCAATTAGTAATGATACTTCCATTCTCAGTCTCACCAGTATTTGGGATGTGTTAAGTGCCCCTTAGCAATCAGATTAGTATTTTTAAAAACTTTTATCTAATGAATATTTTTTGAGAAGAATATTAATGTATAGCTTATCATTTTGAAAGGTAATTAACCCCTAAAGAATATCAGCTACTAACTAAACCATCATGGTACAGATGCATGAACAATTTCTAGAGAAAGGAAATTAGCATAGATTGAACACCTGATATGGACCACACTTTGTCAAATAAATGGTCTCAAATGATCCTCAGAAAAGACTGTGGCACATGGTTTAGAGAGAAGTCAAGCTCATGTGACCAGTAAATGGAAGCAACAGAATATAAGTGTATTTTTGTTCATGTTCTAAAACTCTTTGGTTTTTCTACCCATGTGCCTCAATCAGGTCCAGATTCCAATTGCACCAGAACACTTGCTTACTCCATTAGGGGGTTCTACACTGGAAACATCTCTGACGCCTTCCCTGCATCCTGCCCGTGGCCTACTACACAGTATGTGGTAAATTCATATTTGTTGAATTAATTAAATGTAGGCATTACCTACTTTCAGGGCTGCTCAACATAATGCCTGGAACAGGTAGGTGTTTAATAAATGCTAGTTAACTTATTATAATAAATGTTGATTGAGACAGAAATGTTATATATACCTCTAACATTTTACACCATTATTTTTTGCACTCTGTAAACCCTCAATCAAATGTTATTTCCAAATACAATATCTAGAATGGGGCATATGAGCTGCCATTGGACAAGAAGCTTATGTCTAGCTCACATGATAGGTATATACCAGGTTATAGTGTCACCCTATTTTTATTTTTTTTAAGATTTTATTTATTTTTATTTAGAGAGAGAGAGAGCGCATGTGTGGCGAGTGTGGCAAAAGGGGATCGGGGAGGAGCAGAGGGAGAGGGAGAATCTCAAGCAGACTCCGCGCTGAGCGTGGAGCCCACTGCAGGGCTCGATCTCATGACCCTGAGATCATGACCTGAGCGGAAATCACGAGTCAGATGCTTAACTGACAGAGCGACCCAGGTGCCCCTGTCACCCTATTTTTAAATCACTATTTTCATATCATAATTTTACCTCAGCTGTACCTTTCATTTCATCCAAAACTTATTCATCAAATAGTTGCTTGAAACATCCTCTCTGAGTCCTATACTTTTTACTCTCCTCTCCTTCCCTCCTTCTCACCTCTTTTTGACCCCCTTCTGCCCTTAAATCCCCCAGTCTTCTTTGTGGGGGAAAGACTTTCTGTACCCAAAGGACACAAACTCACAAGGTCACTTTTGCCTATTCTCTTATGCTATTGGGACCAGGAAAAGGAAGGAGGGAAAATTGAGACGGAAGGTTAAAGAAAGGGTGGGTTACAAAGAGAGTGAGAACAAGCTCTGACAAAATGCAGGTGATAATAAAATGTAAATGACTCCAGACTTCAGGGAAGCAGATTCTTTGCCTTCTTGGGTGCTTCTCTTGGCCCTGCCCTACTCACTTCCCTGCCCTCCCATCCTAATGGGAGCTCCAGGAAAAGCGGCTGGCCAGTGCCAGGGAGGAAGGCAGGTGCGGAGCTCAGAGACAGGACCTGGAACCCATCAGCGGCTCCTGAGCTTCCACGGGTTCTGGAATTTTGGAGGTTACATGGTCAGCCCCATGTCAGGGTGCCTCAGTTTCTCCTGCAACACAGGGAGAGCTTTCTCCCTCATAGGTTGCTGTGAGGCTTAAAGAGTTTCTATAGACCTAAAGCAGTCAGAACAAAGCCCAGAGCATTGTAAACACTCCCATGTTAGCAACTGTTGCTAGAGTGGGCAAAAGGAGAAGCTTGTTTCTTAACTCGGCAAGAATAAAACTGACAAGAATTGTATTTAAAAGAGCAAGACTCCCTGTCAACACAAACAACTATGCCTCAGGAATGAATACAGAAGGCCAAGTTTAGAAAAGCAAATGTTTGACAGCTCTGAACCTACTTTGTATTTCTGCTTTTTGGTTTGTTTCAAATTCTGTTACCGGGAATTTTCAGTGACTTTTAAAATATAACTCCTCTGAAATATAATAATACTCTATAGTCCCTCACCACCAGTTTCCTTAGTGCTTGTTTTTACTTAGGGCCTGTCTTTACTTGTTTGTTCATTTGGTATTTCCTTGTTTTTTTTTTTTTTCCTATAACCGGCAAACAGAAATCTACACCCATGTTTAACTTATAAAGAAATATACAATTTAGTTTATATAGGTGGGGAACTTGTTACTAGATTCACACTGTAGGTTTTACAACTAATTTTTCCCTCTGGCCCACATCCATGCTTGCTAAAAGTTGGAATTTAAAGTCTTTGGCTAACACTGAATCAAGAACTAACTCTATAAATGTATTGTTTGTGGATGGATAACAACTCTAAATGGCTTCTAATCTCTGCCAATGGCTTAAGCTAAATTTTCATAGCTAGAGTCACAACCACAAAAACACCTAAAGAAAGCTAACGGGTAGAATTTTTCCCTTTTTACACGCCTTGTATTGGAAACACTCAAATATGAATTAATAAAATACCAATTGAGGTAATATTTAATTTTTCACACTTAAAATGTGAGTTGTAAGTTCAAATTTTGGGTTGTTTCTTTCCTTTTTGAGCAAACAGAATACGCAATTCCTACTAAACAGTACCCAGTTGTGTTACTCATCACCAATGACTGTAACGAATTTAACTAAGAAAAATGTAGGAGATCAAATTATCGCCTTTCCTGTAAATTTAGGGCTAAACCTGATTTCCTTTAATATGGCAACTTGGCTCTTGAGGAATGGTCCTAGCTCTCTTTAAGGGGAAAAGATGATTAGAACAAGCCAGGGAAACAATACTTGGAATGTAGAACAAAGTGCCACCTAAAGATGGACAGAAAATGTCATATTTCTCTCCTTTGAGTTATGCCTGGACAGGAACCCAAAGCTCTCATATGGGACTATAAGTAATACAACTTTAAATATAAAAGGTTGAAGTACTCGGGCTTTTTTTTTTTTTTTAAACTGACTTACTGAAGGAGCATCCTTAGTTTATAGTTATACTTTTATGACTTTTAATTTTGTGCCCTAAATGAGTGCCCCCCCCCCTTGCCTCTCCTGACAGTAGTCAGTGTGCTTTACTGAGGGGATGGGGAGAGGGTTGGCCAGCCTGGGGATCCGGGAAGAGGAGGCCCATGTGGGGATGAGAAGGGACAATGCGTGTAATGTCTTCTCCTTTTTCTGTGAGGCAGGAGGTGAGGCCATCAGCTAAGAGTGAGAGGCACAGGCCTTGGAAGAGGGGGAAGATGGAGCATGGCTGATGAGGGGACAGGAGAGAGAGAAGGTCCAGGACAAGTGAAGGATGCTCACACAGCATCGAGCCCTCTGCCCACAGCTAGATAGTGCCATTTGTAGTGATGCCGTCTGCCCGGCAGGTGTTGTAGAAGTAGAGAAGGCAGGAGAGACCCGAGGTCTGGGGTTGTTGGGTAGAAGAGCAGGAACCAAGGAGAGGAGGGCAAAGGTGCCAGATGATTCTGCATCTGAGACAGGGAGGTGGGGAAGAAGGAAGGTCAGGAGACTGCTGGGTGGGGTGGGAGCGTTAGGGAGCAGATAAGAGTGGGCAGAGGATTCGGGGTGAATATTTAGAGGCTGTGGTTGAAGAGCCAACTGCCTGGAGAGTGAGCGGACTGGAATTTGACATTTCAGAGGAAATGCAGTTGTAGATGAAGCCACTTAAATGACTTTCTTGCTGATAAGTTGTCTTGAGTGTGTGGGAGGTTATGGGAACAAAATGGCATACAGGTCATAACATAAGGGCCCCTTAGACTTCTGAGTGTTGCAGATCTGCTAAGTAAGATTTGGAAATATAGTTTCTCTAAGATTAGATGTTGGTGATATATTACAACAATGCCAGAAACAATGGTCAAGAAACATACAGTTGGAAACAAAAACAGATACATTTTGAATTCAAACCCAAGGGCTTTCTCTAGTTCACCTTGCTCCTCCTGGAAGAGGCCTCCCCTGCTCCACCCACCCCCACTTCTCCCCTCCTGGCTTCCAGCACAGGGCCCACTGTTTGCCCCACGGCTCTCCTCCCGCTCAGAGCGCCACCACAAGCCTCGTCTGTCCTGCCCTCTATCACCCTCTACCCATTCCTTACCCCATCTCAACTTTCTATGAACTAGCCCTTTATTTTATTTTATTTTTTTTTTTAAGATTTTATTCATTTATTTGACAGAGAGAGAGAGCACAAGCAGGGGGAGCAGCAGAGGTAGAGGGAGAAGCAGGCTTCCCGCTGAGCCCAGAGCCCGATGCGGGGCTCGATTCCAGGACCCTGGGATCATGACCTGAGCCGAAGGCAGAGGCTTAAGGACTGAGCCACCAAGAGCCCCTGAACTAGCCCTTTGAAATAGTTCCTTTTTAGAAGAAATAACCATCTGAAGTTTTAGGGAATTTGTACAATATTCTCTTTCATTTGTCAAAAGATATTACTTAGTCCTTGAATTCAAACCTGTTCAAATAAATTGAGATGCCACGTAAATATATGCAGGCATGCACGCACACGCGCATAAGTAAAATACACGCACATGCGCATAAAACACATGCACACGCACGCATACACACATGCATAATGTAAAATACACACGCACATGCGCATAAAGTAAAACAATGCACGCACACACACGTGTAAAGTAAAACGCACGCACGCATACATGCGCGCATAAAGTAAAATAAGATGGCTTCCTTTGCCTTTGCCTCCTCCCGCTCCTCCTTCCCGGCGTTTACTGCCTCGGGGCCCCTCTGCTCCTCTGGTACTGGAGGCTCACTGGCCCCACAGCGGCCACCTTCCTTAGGCTCAGAGCGCTCCCGCCTCTGCGGTCCCGCTGCCTCCTCCAGCCTCACCTGCCCCCCTGGACTGCTCCACCTGCTGTCTCTCGGGCACCTCCCTCCCGCCCCACACCAGCCCAAACCCAGACACGCTCCCTCCTCACTCCGAACTCGGGAAACCAGTTTCCCCTCCGCTGTGTCGCTAATGCTGGAGACTAGATTTCCCTCTCCTCCTTTCCTCCCATCCCAGGCCACTCAGCAGGTAGCGCTGGGTTTGTTTTTCTCGAAAGGGTCTTCCTTACCCCTGACCTCCCTCCTCACTTCCACCACCCTAGACTAGGCCCTCCTCACCTCATTCTGCTTCAGCGTGAGGCCCCCGAGGGAGCCAGGGGGCCCTATCTCCAGGCTTCACGCATCCATCCTGCGTGCCACCACCAGATTAGTCCCTTTCCCGTAACGCTTAGTCCATATTGACAAGGCAGTTATCATTAAAAACAAAAACTGAAACTTGGGTGACCTCTTGCTGCCCTTGGCACTCATGGCTCCTCTGCCCCATTTTCAAGGTTCCCCATAAGCAGGCCCCATCTCCCTGCTTTCAAATACATGCTTGTATCTCAAGTATTTGCTGTTGTTATTTTTTTCCTTTCTTGCCTGAAACAGATTGCTTCTTTTCCTGTAACCACCTAAATCCTGTTTTCCTCAGGCCCTGCTATCCTGCTGTCACTGATCTCTATTACCAGGGACTTGCCTTTTTTGCCTGGAGTTGGTATTGTCTAAATTAGTTCTGTGACACTGTCTGCACTTGTCTTTGATCTGCTGATTGTTGTCCATGGGAACTGAGTTTTCAAGTGGGCATCATGAGTCTTGTCTCAGCTAGACTGCAGATGCTTTCAGAGAGGGGACTATAAAATACTACTACATGACTCTCACTACGCCCAACTGGCATAACGATTCCATAGCAGATCCTCACATACTTGTAGCATTTGTTGAAACGTTGAACACTGAGGCTGTTTGACTTGAATTTGAAGTGCAGGCCTCGCTCTCTTGATTAAAACGTCAACATTTTTATCAGGTTTTGTATAATATTTTAAGATCACTAAAGTAGACCCAACAAAGAAATGGGTTACCAGCGAGAGCAAAGTAGAAAAAAAATCAGGGGTCATGTAGGGTAACTTGTAATCCCTAGTTTTTTTCCGGAAGAGTTTAAAGAGTTCTCTTGTGAAATATTCTTGAGTAACTGTGGAGCACAGCTCCTAGACTGAAAAGCATTTGAGGTAGGGTCAGCCACCTTCTTTTCTGATGTTCCTGTTCTACTTCTATTCTTTATTTTTCTGGCTACTTCTCTCTATTAGGAAAGAGAATATTAAGAGTATCTGCTCCTTCTTTTCAATCCAAATAGAAGCAAACCCAAGTTATATTCCAAATATTTGCATACAGGTCTTGCTCAACGGAGGATGGGGTGACATCCCAATAAACTCACTGTAAATTGAAAATATTGGAGGTCAAAAAAGCATTTATACACCTAACCTACCAAACATCATAGGTTAGGCTATCCTACCTTGAACGTGCTCAGAACATTTATATTAGACTACAGTGGGGCAAAAGCATCTAACGCCAAGTATATTAGATACTAAACTGGTGAATAGCTCATGTAGTTGAATACTGTACTGAAAGCAAGAAAGAGAATGGTTGTTAAGTGTAGCGGCTGCTTACCCTCATGACTGCCCAGCTGACTGGGGACTGCAGCTCACCGCCACTGCCCAGCATCACCAGAGAGTATCGTATGGCTTATCACTAGCCTGGGAAAGGATCCAAATTCCAAATCTGAAGTATGGTTTCTACTGAGGGCATATTGCTTTCACACCATCATAAAATAAAAAAATCGTAAGTCAGGGACTGTCTGCATTCTCTCTGAGCAGTTCGTTGTCCTGTTCTCGCCTATGGTCTTTCCTGTTTCCTATTTCCAGCAGACTCTGAAGTCATCTGTGTTTTTTACATCCTCTCAGTAACAATACATGGACATTCACCCCCGATCTGCAGATGAAGTCACCGAATCAGAGTGCAGGGAGGGTGGCCCAAGGTTACACAACGACCGTGGCCCCAAGCGGGGGCAGCCCTGGGGCTTGCAGCCTGTGGCCTGGTCCCTGAGCCGCGCAGCATGCACATAAAGGAAGCTGCAAGCACAGCGTTCTGGTGGGGATGGTTCCTGAGCTCACGGGCATTATCTGGCTCCTCTGTTTCCTGCCAGGCCCAGCATTTTCTTTCTCCAGGTCGGGCAGGCCTGTGGCTTTCTCTGCAGTCAGTCCCCTCCCCTGCCCTTTGAAGGCGGAAGATGGAAGATGTGCTTTAGATGAGCTTCAAGGCTCTGTGTGAACCAGAAGAGTGGGTGTCGATGGCATGTGCGTGGTACCCATCAGCAAAGCCAGGGCTGGTGGGCAACACTGTTTGGTTGTAATTCATGAATTTAGACCATGGAGGTGCATTTTGCTTTTGGTTGGCCAATGCTGCCTAGTGACTATGTTCAATTTGGAGGAATTGGGGTGTTCTTTTGTTATAAAAGAGAAACTAGGTACTGCGGAAGAGTAGTTCAACTTTCCCAATCTTCCCCTCATCACATCAGTCCTATCAGTGGGCTCTGGTTATGATTGGTATAAATGATAGCTAAACAATTCAAGCTGCTGAGGTTGGAGAAATCTTGTTTTAGATTTTCACATGCTGTTCTGAACCTAAATAAGTAGTGTGGGTTGTTGGCTTTGCAACAGGTTCTTTGTCATTTTTCAGGAACTGTTTTGACTCTTGGAGGTCAATGGGGAACAGGTGAAGAAATATAGGGAAATAAGGTAAATCCATATGCATCAGGGGTGGGGAGCAGGGGGATAAATGCATGTTCTGGGGTGGCTGCTAAAATGCACGTGAGCAGAACACACCAACCAGAGGAGTAATAGGCCCCATTCATTGGAGAGATACTAGGGCCTCTGTGAGTCAAGTGTTTATGTGGGTGTTGGAGGAGTCAGGCCTGTGGGCTGATTGTCTAGCAAGACACTCAGACTCGTAAACTGGGAATAGGTGCAAAGCAAGCTGACATAGCAACATTATGAGTGCAACTGCTCAGAAATGAGAAGCTAGCTTTGCCTGTGGTTCCAAAGGTTACTCTCCTCTTTGTCTCTTTGCCAGGGTCTGTTGGAATAGAAAAACTGCAGATTAGTTTCAATTGATAATTTTCTTAGAATTCTTAAACAGTTATGGGATCGTAAAATCTGCCCTTAAGAATTCTCTGCTGCTAAACAATGAATCATGGAACACTACATCAAAAACTAGTGATGTAATGTATGGTGATTAACATAACATAATAAAATAAAATTAAAAAAAAGAATTCCCTGCTGCTTTGCATTAAGCCTCCGGTTGTAGAGGCAGAAGGGGATATCTGCCCTCACCGGGGGACCCTTATCTAAGCGAGCACTGTTTAGACTGAGAGGAAGAGCCCCCGCCCCCACCCCCCCCATGAAAGTGATTCTGCAAAGTTTAGGCAGATGCTACCATCAGAAACTGATGTTTTCCGCTGTCTTTTCCATTCTACTCTAGAGGATTCGGTCCACCATGACCAGCCAAACCAAGAGGGGAAATTACTGATACTGATCTATCCCTTAAGAGTAGTATTTCTTGCTTTTTTGATGGTAAAGCCCACACACAAAAAATACATTTTACATTACAACCTGGAGGCACGTATACATAAAACTGAAAGTTTCACAGAAGGATACTTAAACTACTTTCAGTGCAGTAGGCCATTCTCTATTTTGTTCTTTTTCTGTTTCTTTTTTAAATACTGGTTGTGACTTTCTGAGAGGCACTAGCAAGTTTTAAAAACCTGTGCCCTAGGGAATGAGATAGATTATCTCTGAACAAAGTCTCCATGAGGGTTGGCTCTGATCTCCCATACTCTTTGGACTTTTGCATGCCTGGTCTTTGCTGTTATCAGCCCAACATGGAGTACCTTCGGCAGATAGGTAATACAGCTGTATGTAAAGGGCCAGAAGTTGGGAAGGAAGTCCCACAGCCAAGGTTAGGCCCGTAGAGCAGGGTGCTCTCAGTGTATGCAGTTGGTTTCATAGCAGGGCTGAAGGGTGGGGGATTTGAGGTTGAGCTCTTTGGGCTCAAAAGCAGGGCCTTTTCTGTGGGCCCAGCTACCCAGCGAGCCTGGACTGAGTGGAGCTTGCATGGTCTTTTCCCTGTCAATCTGTTGAAAGCTCAGGAGACTATGTTAACCCTGAGGGGAGACTACTTCCCCAGGCAAAAGGATGTATCTTACTTCGGATAAGCGCTGGGGTCAGAGTCCTTGAAGACAGGAAGTGCTGTCTCTTAGTCATGGAAGAAAGGGGAGGACATGTGACTGACTGGGCCTCCTGACCCCAGTTCCTCCCAAGTGACCAGCTGTTAGAGTGAAAGGGACTCCACCCCCACCATGGTTCTTTGCACTGACATTCAGAGAACGCCTACCGGGTGTCAGGTCAGACACTGACCTGGATGCTGAGGGTAGCGTGTCTACGACATCGGGCCTTACATCACGGAGTTCACAGTGTAATTGGGGGAGGCAGATAAATTAAAAAGTCAGTCCAGGAGCATGAGTGCAAGAATGTGCTGTGGTAATGCGGATAAGAATAATCTTTGGTGGTAGTGCTGGAGGGTGGCCCCAACTCTGACTTCCCAGAAAAGGATGCCTGTAGAATTTAGTGAAGATTAGTATACTTCTTATTAGCAAGGGGAGCAGGGCTTGCCAGGCCACACATAAGATGGCCACCGGGACACAGGCTGCCGTGTGTGAAATAGCTAGCACGGCCCAGCTTCCAGCCAATACTTTGGTGCCGACAACTAGTAGAGAGCATCTGAAGGGGGTGAAGGAGCTCAGTCTGCCTCCCGGTTAGATCTGAGTTTTAGAAAGGTCACTCTATAGGGTAGAAGATGGGTTGGTCAGGGATCATTTTGGCGGCTGCACTGGTCTGGGTGAGAAGTGATGATAACAGGAAGAGGTGAAGAGAGATTTAGAACAAGCAAGTCACAGGATTAAGTAACTGGATATGGAATGGAGGAAAATGAGGACTTTCAGATTTCTGGCAGAGATGCATGAAGTGCAGTCAGACACAAAGAAAGAGAAAATGGCAACAGCAGGTTTTAGGGGAGAAGACAGTAGAAGGGGTTAGAAATGGCATTTGAGTGTCCCTGTGTGCCAGGTAATTATCTATTGACCTCGCTCTATCTATATATCTATGTATATTCCCATTTAACTTGCATGAAGACAGAGTTAATTGGGGTTAGGTCGGCTTTTCCAATTTCTGGGTTAGATGCATGCCACAGAGCAGTGGAAGTTCACATTGCTGGACTACAAAGACAGTGCTTTTTGGCTATAACCCTGTGGCTTCCTGGCTTGAACGTGCTAAATTGGAGGTGCCTGTTGAGTTTCCAGATGAAAAAGAACAGGAAAAAGATGACTATATAGATATGGGTCTCACAAAGCCATTTTGGTTACAGAGAGTTTGGGCCATGCTTTTGAAAATGTATCTCAAGGGGCGCCTGGGTGGCTCAGTCGTTAAGCATCTGCCTTCAGCTTGGGTCATGATCCCAGGGTCCTGCCATCGAGCCCCGCATCGGGCTCCCTGCTCAGTGGAAAGCCTGCTTCTCCCTCTCCCACTCCCCCCGCTTGTGTTCCCTCTCTCGCTGTCTCTCTGTCAAATAAATAAATAAAATCTTTAAAAAAAAAAAAAAAAAGAAAAGAAAATGTATCTCAACTCCTTGATTTACAAATCTTGATTTTTTAAAACAAAATCTTACTCTTATTCCTGTCTTGTCTGGGGCAAGCTTTAATGAATTTTAACTGTTAGGAACTTTCTGTTCATCATTCATCTATTTTGCCTTGAACTATATACAGGCATAACCTTGGAGACACTGTAGGTTTGGTTCTAGACCCACCGCAATAAGGCAAATATCATGATAAAGCGAGTCAAATGAATTTTTTGATCTCCCGGTGCATATAAAAGTTATGTTCACGCTATACTATAATCTATGAAGTGTGCAATGGCATTATGTCTTAAAAAATGGCAATATGTCTTAATTAAAAAATACTTTATTGCTAAAAAATGCTAGCCATCATTCCAAGCTTTTACCGCCGAGTCACAATCACCCGATCACAGATCACTATTACAAATATAATAATGAAAACGTTTGAAGTATTATGAGAATTACCAAAACGGGACACAGAGACATGAGGAGAGCAAATGCTTTGGAAAAATGGCAACCCCTTGCTTGACGCAAACCTTCAACTTGTGAAAAAGGCAGTGTTTGCAAAGTGCCATAAAACAAGGCGTCCCTGCAGCTACTTTCATCCTGGCTGCACCGTGGATCAATATATACCTGGACACACCCACGTGAGATTGTGAACTTAAAGTGTATAGGCTGATAGCCATTTGGGAGGCTTTTTATTTTTTAAGGTTGAGACGAGGAAAGGGCCCCGTATTCTGAAGGGGAGGACAGTGGAGGGTGAGTGGTTCTTTCCCTTTCCCTATCCTCCTCCCACCCCCACCAAAAAATAAATATCTGTATGCCTCTGCTAAACGCTAGCTGCCTCATCACCTTCTGTTCACATCGGGCAAGTTACATTCCATTTTTAGGGAATGAAAAGTAGTTTCTTTCTTTTTGGTCACTCTCACCCACTCACTTGTCATCTCTTTTCTTCCTGACTCTAACAGGTGGCACTTTACTCTCACAGAAGGAAGCACATGGAATAGCTACACGAGGCCAGTCACCTAACGCAACGACGGATGCCGGTGTGGAAACATTCTGACGTGCCCGTGTCCTCCTCCTACCGTGCATTCCACTCTCCCACAATCTCAGAAAAAATGGTACGAAAAGAAAGTATTTTGTGAAACAAGGAGCTCCTGCTTTTTTTAATGATGAACATGTATTAAGATGGACATCTGTTCTACACAATACCAAGTTCTATGGTCTCGAAGGGGCAAGCGCCCATTTAAAACCGACCTTAAGTAAAAACAGAGCTGCATGGATGTCAGAATGTTTGTGAGTGGCAGAAGAGTCAAAAAATGGCAGTTCATGCAGTTATTTGCCACTTGTTTTATACTAAGCCTCATGTTTTTTTGGGGACCCATCGATAATCACATTGTGAGCCATATGAAGTCCTACTCTTACAGATACCTCATAAATAGCTATGACTTTGTGAACGATAGCCTGTCTCTTAAGCATAGTGCGGATGGGGCTCCTCGCTACCAGTACTTGATTAACCATGAGGAGAAGTGTCAGGCACAAGACATCCTCCTGTTACTGTTTGTAAAAACTGCTCCCGAAAACTACGATCGACGTTCCGCAATTAGAAAAACGTGGGGCAATGAGAAGTATGTTCAGTCTCAACTTAATGCCAACATCAGAACTCTGTTTGCTTTAGGAACACCTTCTAACCCACTGACAAGAGAAGAACTGCAAAGAAAACTGGTCTGGGAAGATCAAATGTACAGTGATCTAATCCAGCAAGACTTTGCTGATTCTTTCTATAATCTTACTCTCAAATTACTTCTGCAATTCAGTTGGGCAAACAGCTTTTGTCCTCATGCCAAATTCCTTATGACTGCTGATGATGACATATTTATTCATATGCCAAATCTTATTGAGTACCTTCAAAGTTTAGGAAAAATTGGTGTTCAGGACTTCTGGATTGGTCGGGTTCATCGTGGTGCTCCTCCTGTGAGAGACAAACGCAGCAAATACTATGTCCCCTATGAAATGTACCAGTGGCCGGCTTACCCTGACTATACTGCTGGGGCTGCCTATGTGATCTCCAGCGACGTAGCCGCCAAAGTCCACGAGGCGTCACAGACACTTAATTCTAGTCTTTACATAGATGATGTGTTCATGGGCCTCTGTGCCAATAAAATGGGGATAGTGCCACAACACCATGTGTTTTTCTCCGGGGAAGGCAAAACTCCTTATCATCCCTGCATCTACGATAAAATGATGACGTCTCATGGACACGTACAAGACCTTCAGGACCTCTGGAGGGATGCCACAGACCCTAAAGTCAGAATGATTTCGAAAGGGTTTTTTGGTCAAATATACTGCAGGATAATTAAGATAGTTCTCCTTTGCAAATTGACCTATATTGACACGTATCCTTGTAGGGCCGCCTTTGTCTAACAGTACTTGAATGTTGTATGTTTTCACTGTCACTGAGCCAAACATGGATGGAGAAAACTCTAGATATTTGTCGATACCTGAAGTAAAATGAGTATGAAAAAACAAATATTTTGAAAACCCAGTCTATCAGAATGTTTCTTTGATTCTAGAAGCTATTCAGTGTAACTTAACTACTTCATCGCCTAAATTCATTTCAAGGAATTCATATTTAGAAAAGGTTTATGAAGACAAAACTAAAGGGAAATTCAAGTTCTCACTCGATGCCACATGTATATTTGAGGCATAGAGAAGTTAATTAAGGTGCCTTGGTGTTAGAGTAACTGCCTTTGGAAAATACCAAGTGAATGTATAGTACAACATTTCAAAGAAATGAATATATTGTCGGACCAGGTTTACAAATTAGTTTTTATTAGAGAGCACTTGACTGGGGGAGGTGGGGGCAGGGGAGGATTGGCATAGGAGAAAGTACTTGAACCTGATAAAAGAAGGTTCCTGTTCTTCAGAGGAGACTTAGAAAAATGTAACACGATTTCTTTATAAAGAGCCAAATCACTTATTGTCACATCCATGTAGCTAATTTACCTAAATAGTGTTAGAGTCATTTAAAACATATTTATATCTTTTTTTCAAAGTGTAATGTGAAATTTGAGCTGTGATTCGCTCTGCCCTAACTGGTACTTCATGTGAATTTTTTGATTATTAGATATGACACAAATCATGGGCAGTGTGTTACTCACAGGGTCTTTCCCTAGGAAGAAATCATTGTTACTTGAAATCAGCCAATTTTAATGAATTTTTCAGCTGATTTTTAAATATTCAATATTGGTCTGTTTTTAAGGTAGTTATTTGAATGTAGTTTGCACAGAGGAATAGAATAATGGAGACGACTTCAAAAAGAAAGAAAGAACATTAAAAGCCTCTTTTCTCCTTTTCTGTAATTTATAAAATAAAATTCTTAGTGTGTAAATTATTGTAACAATGACTAAAATTAGCCTACACCTCCCCAACAAGGTCTCATAAACCATAGTACTTTGTCAGGTTTTAAAACTGAGAGCATTCAACATCAAATCAAAGCTATCTTATCTTTAAAAAAATCAGTTCTTTCATCAAAATGACTATCGGAGGTGTCATCAACTTTGAAATACTTCACATTTGAAAGCAGAATGAAGTGACAGAAATGTCACCAGAAGGAGGTTTAAAATATTTGTGAAGCTTCCTGTTCAAATGTGGCTGAGCTCTAAAAGAGTAAGTTGCATTTATCTTACAGGAAAGGATAGAAATGTGGTCATGATGCAACAACCTCCCCTCACTACAGAAAGAACTAGGTGATGTCTATTGTCGCAGGGATTATATGATGTCCAAAATGGTGACTTCAGCAAAAGCAGTTGAACTGATTATAAAACCTCTCTCTCTGCAGAGGTGCCTGTTAGGGAAAACTAAGACGTCTCATGTCATTAGATGAGGTCTGAAACATGCAGAAGGAAACAAAACTAAAAGAATTCTTGGTAAGCACAACTGGAGGATGATATATTGTAATTTTCTGCAGATAGCTTTTTAATGTTTACAGAAATTTTTGTTAATTTCTTTTCTATTTTGAAAATTGAGGCTTGTTTACATTGATTGCTCAGATAATTTAGAATTTTTAACTAATGTCAAAACTACAGTGTCAGCCATTCTAGGTTTGTAGTTTCAGAGTAGGTGCAGCGTTTATAAGTCATGACAGTTTAAATTTTCTGACCAATTTGAAAACCTGTAGATAACAAAATCACATTTTGACAAAGCTGGTTTATAATTAATTTTTATTAGTTGATTCTTTAATAACCATTTGCCTTTTGGCCATACATACCCTGCCTATCTATACTTGTAACTGTTAAAATTTTCCATTGGTTGAAAACATAAGTGTCTCTCTGGCCATTGAAATGATCTTGTTTACAGCAATACTTTTGTGAAACAATTATTTATTTGCAAAAGAGCTCTCCTCAACTGTGTTCATCTTTTTATTTTTGCTTCGAATAGAATGGAACATAGTTAAATTTAAAGGAAATATGAAGGCACTTCCTTTTTTAATAAGAAGGAAATTGCTAGATGCTTCCTTCATTGGATTTAAAGTACTGAGAAGAATATTTGTAAATAAAAGGATTCCAGCCTTTTAAAAAAAGAAGGAAAAAACTTTTCGGTGCTCTAATGCAGGGCTGTCTCAAAAATCGTCAACAAAGGGAAAATAAACTATCAGCCTCGATGGTCACTTGAGTAGACGATTGTTGTACACAGTGTTATTGCTAAAAACTTTTTACCTCTTGGTTGGTTTGCATCTTTTTTTTCATATTATTAATTTTATACCAGTATGTTAAATATTTATATTATTTGAATTTTGCTCTTGTATGGCAAAATAATTAGTGAGTTTTTAAAAATAAATCTGTGATTTCCAATAAACAACTTGAAAATTGTCAGCAGATGTGTATTTTCACAAGCTTTTTAAACTCCTGTGTATGAACACCATTTGTTTATATAATCAACTTCTTCTGTTTAATGTCAGGGAGGTCTGAAGTACACAATCTTAATCCTTAATCAGACTTGCTGTTGTACCCAGGAGAGAGGATTATTGTGTCCTCTGCCCTGGAGCCACATAAAGTGCTTCTTTTGGTTGTTAAAGGACATATGCTGGAATGTCTAAGTTGGGGAAATTCTCTTTCCTAATCGATTGTTCAGGAAAGAGATGAACACCTGTAGCCATGGGGCCACCAGACACCATTGGAAAGGGTCATATTTTCCTTTTACTTGATATCATTAGGTGTCAGAAAGTAGATTCACATTTAGCTCTAGTCTTTGAAAGTCAGGAATGTTCTTAGGACTGGTTCTGTCTGAGTGCTGCTTCAGTATATTTGTACATAGTATGTTCTCTGCTTTTCACCCAATTCCTGCTCAGTTCTTAGCCCAAGATATGGTGTGACTCAATCTATTTATGTTTTTAAAACTTGGAAGCATGTGATTTTTTTGGTTGTAGATATTCTTTTGCTCCAGACCTCAAAGGCTCCTTACTGTCTTGAGCATCGAATTATCTCTTTGACCTGGTTCCCAAGGCCTTATGGAATCTTCCTTTCCTTCTGGAGTCCCCATAGTGTTATTTTTCCCACCACCACTATCATCAGTCACACATCTCATTCATGACTTGTGTAAGTTAACCAATGGAACGTCATTTCTCTTGGACCTATTGAAGCCTTGAAAATCCAACCCTGACTGTGCTCTTTCATTAAGCATCTCTTTCCTGCCCTCCTCCCAAAATATACATACTTAATCACATATATTATTGTGCTACCAACTAATTGTTTCATGAGTTTTTTCCTAGCTAAAATAGAAGTTCTAAAGGTAGGGACTGTGCACAATGCTCTCACGTAGTGCTTAAAATCATTATCCACCCTCTCGGGCGCCTGGATGGCTCGGTTGGTTAGGCATCTGACTCTTGATTTTGGCTCAGGTCATGATCTCCTCAGGGTCAGGAGTTCCGAGCCCCAAGTCGGGCTCTGTGCTGCACGTGGAGCCTGCTTAGGATTCTCCCTCTCCCACTGCCCTTCTCCCCCTTCCCTGCTCACACTCTCTCTCTTAAAAAAAAAAAAAGATACACTGTCACTTAAGGACAACAACAGAACACATTGCCAAGTGGTGCTTTTCTGAGACAACCCAACTAAAGACACTTTCAGATATGCTGACATGGGCCATTTGCTCTAACTGAGAGATAATATTTCAGTCAGTAAGAGCCCACATGTTTCTTTGAGTACACCATAAAGTGAAAGAGTATAAAGTAGTCTAGTAAACTAATATGGGCTTTAATCAAGCGGCAAGTTCCTCAAGACATTGGTTCATTTATTCTACAGGCATATTTTGGAGGCCTGCTAAGAGCTAAGTATTATCATAGTCCCTGGGCATAAGAATGGCTCGTAAGTCAGTATGTTAAATGGTATGGATACAAGTAATGTGATGATTGCTGGAATAGAGCTAATGATGGAGATTCTGAATATAAAGAAGTTGGTGTTTTTTTAATGAATTTCCCCTCTGCTCTTGGTGTTTACCTCCCTAATTTAGGCTTTCTGAGCGGCAGAGTAGTCACATGCATGCAAATACCTTCCTGTGGTCTGAAAATAGCATTAAATTTGTATAAATTGTGTCTTTGGGGAACCTCTTCCCTTTAAATGCTTTCAAACCAATAATTCAATCTATCAACATTAATTTACATTTACTATTTTGTTTTTTCTTGATAATTCATTTTTTAAAATACTGAGTATCCTTGGAACTTGGTTTATAAGTCATGTGCAGTTCTTGCTTGTTGCTTTTATGAGATCTGTGAGTTTGTTCTCAGGTACATAAATGAAGGTTACTATACAGAGTAAATATGTGATTTTATCTGGGAAAAATGAGTGATGAGGTTTAAAACAGAGGATACCCTCCCCTCTCCCCACCACCCCAAGGGGTTAAAATGACTCCGGCCAGGGATCTGCAATCTTACCTGGTGGGGGAAAGACTTTCATGACTGTCGGGCTGCTCTGGCTCAGGGTTCTTCCCTTCATGACTGCCTTCCAGTATTTCTTCATTCTGAAGTGAAAGAAATTTTGGTAAGACAGCCTATATTATTTGGGGGCTGTATATTTTTCTTTCCCCCAATTTATTTGTTTTGTTTGTTTTTGTTTTCAGTGCTCTCATTGAGCACCATGCCTAGCCCCTCATCTTTCTCTTTCTTTCTTGGATTTTTCCCAACCCCTCTGCAAATCTGTTACAGTTTGCCCTTTGGGCTTCCTTTAGAAACATCAAAAATTCTTTCTTGAAAGCAGGTATCATTTTTCCTTAATAATGAACGGCTATTAATACTGTACTCCCCCTCCTCCCTGGTTGACTCACAATAAAGATTTGGAGTTTGAGCTAAGGGGAAACAGTGAAGAGATCATTTGACTCAATATCTCCTTTTTTCCCCTCTGGGGCTAAGAAATGAAGATCTGGAGAAGTTGCGACCTACCCAAGGCCAGAAAGTGAGCTAAAGACAGAGATGAGATAAACCCAGAGTCCACTTTCACAGGCTGGTGATCACAGGTCCATTCTAGCGCACCGCATCCTGGGGCAGCTGGTTCCTTAGGTTGTACGGATTGGCCACCGGTACAGGCTTGAAGCCAGCTGGTGTTCGGAAGCCCTGCTCACTACCTGGCAGCTCTGAGACCTTGGGCAAGTTCACTGAACCGCTCTGCTTCAATTTCCTCCCCTAGCACGTGGACCCCATGGCACTATCTACCACACAGGGCTGGGGCTCTTTTTCAGAATATTAGGCATTTAATTCCCAAAAAGAGGCAAAACTACTCATTTTACTTTCAAGAAAATACAGTTTCAGGGCATCTGGGTGACTCAGTCGGTTAAGCGTCTGCCTTCAGCTCAGGTCATGATCTGAGGGTCCTGGGATCGAGCCCTGCACCCGGCTCCCTGCTCAGCTTGGGAGTCTGCTTCTCCCTCTCCATCTGCCCCTCCACCCACTCGTGCTTGCTCTCTCTCTCTTTCTCGCTCTCAAATAAATAAATAAAATCTTTAAAAAAAAATAAAAGAAAATACAGTTTTAACAAGGAAGTGAATTTATATAACATTGATAGCAACCAGAGAATCTTAAAGTTATTGACTAATGATGAACAAGCAGATAATTAGCCAGCATCTGAATTCTTCCTGCCTGCCAGGTTCTGTTTAAATGAGTTCTTTTATACTGTCACAAAAGGGAGTATAGATTTTGAAAGGGCCCTCTTGCAAAAGTATTGTTTAAGGAAATGTAATGAGTAGGCATAAAGATTCTCTGTAAATTAGAGCTAGAAGGTGAAGCATGAGCTCTCCCCAGACAACAGATGAGAAGTCTCCTTGTAAAACAGCTGAGAGTGATAGACTCTCAGCTGGTTGTTGATAATGCAAGAAGAGAGGCCTCTCACTTGATTAACAGAAAGCACTCAAGGTAAGGTGGTTTTTATTATTCACAATGCCAACCACAGAAAGAGCAATTCAAAAATGTTCAACGAATGAAAGAAAATCGTGGATCTTTGATCTTTTTCATTGATGTCATCCCAAATCTAGAATATCCAGAAAGCAGGCTAACAAATAAAGGACTATTTGGGATACCAGTTTTGCATCCAGCTCTAAAATACACGGGCAATCTTAAATTCCAAGTTCATATTTGTTTCTTTCAAAATAGAATATCATTTCACTAGGAATCTAAATTGTTAGTGCCTGCTATTACATATAGTTGACCAGATACTAGTAGATATTTCTCATTTCAGTCAATATACAGAAGTAAATACCAGTCCCTGGATTCAAACCAATCTAGTTATTTTCACCACACTACCAAGGCTCTTTCTTCACATTTTCTCTATAATGTTGAACTAATTACTACAGCAGTTAATGTACATCACATCCCTTTCTAGTTCCTCCCCTGTGACTTTACTATGCCTGAAACACCTGCTGGACTTTGAGCTCTAGCCTTGTCTTTGGATCCCTAACATGTAATATGGGACCTTCGTAAGGAGTAACCACTATTTCTTTCTTTTTCTTTTTTTTTTTTTTAAGATTCTTTATTTATTTGACAGAGAGAGACACAGTGAGAGAGGGAACACAAGCAGGGGGAGTGGGAGAGGGAGAAGCAGGCTTCCCGCGGAGCAGGGAGCCCGATGTGGGGCTCGATCCCAGGACCCTGGGATCACGACCTGAGCCGAAGGCAGACGCTTAATGACTGAGCCACCCAGGCGCCCTGAATAACCACTATTTCTAACCAAACTTGCTCTCACTGTAAAACTTGTTACTTCTTATAAAATGAATTGTGCTTGGGCGCCTGGGTGGCTCAGTTGGTTAAGCAACTGCCTTCGGCTCAGGTCATGATCCTGGAGTCCCAGGATCGAGTCCCGCATTGGGCTCCCTGCTCAGCAGGGAGTCTGCTTCTCCCTCTGACCCTCCACCCTCTCATGCTGTCTCTCTGTCATTCTCTCTCTCTCAATAAATAAATAAAAATCTTTAAAAAAAAAATGAATTGTGCTCTTTCCAACTATTCTGTTGGTCTATAGTAAGTGTGGTGTATTGTAGAGTCATTTCATGACAATCTAAGGGCAGAAAAATAACAATGACTCAAGGTGTATAGGTATAGACTGTCGTCTTTTACACTGAATGATGATGCCCTGATTTATAGACTTTGTCACGCATGAGACATGGGCTTGCTGAAATGCCTGGGCATGGACTTGGTTGTGTCAGCCCACATTCCTAGGACCACATGTCAGACAGTTGGTGTCAGGGTAGAGAAAGAATCCTCTGTCCATCAAGTTTGATGGAATACAACACTGCTGCCATTGAGAATGTGATGGGAAGGATCCACAGCAGATCTGGGCACTGCTTTACTAATCTGCAGGGAGGTAGTTAACTATACTGTATATCAATGTTTTGCTAAGGTTTAGACAGATTAGTTGTGTGCTAGTGCAGAAGCTTTCAAAGTCTGACCATGCCCCACAAGAAAAACATCAAAACATACATACACACACATTGTGATTTATAATAAATATATATTGATCTTGTCCTATTTCTGGTACAGATCTCCTAAAACTTGTAATTTCCTAAGTGATAAGAGCCATGAAGTTTTCTTTTGTTATTCACAACAAACCCCTTCCAACCCCACCAGAGTTTATGTTAATAAGGTAACTTTTGGAAAGCACCCAAGAATGGGGGCTGATTGCCGGGGAACCAAGCACGGAATTAGAGGGCTGGAACTTTCAGTTCTCTTGACCACCACCACTTCCAGGGAGGGGAGGGGGGCTGGAGATTGAGTTCAATTACTAATGGCCAATGGTTTAACCTGTCATGCCTATGTAATTAAGCCTCCAAAAACACCCAAAAAGGAGTCTCTGTGTTGGTGAACACATGGAGATGGAGGGTGGGTGGCTTGCTCAGACAGCATGGAAGCTCCATGTCCCTATACCTTGCCCTATGCATCTCTTCCATCTGGCTGTTCCTGAATTACATCCTTTTAAGATAAACTGGTAATCTAGTAAGTAAAATGTTTCTCTGAGTTCTGTGAGCCACTCTAGCAAATTAATCAAACCCAAGGAGGGTATCATGGGAAACTGATGTATATATAGCAGGTTGGTCAAAAGCACCAGTGACAACCTGGACTTTTCAAATGTCGTCTGAAGGGGGTCGGAGAGCAATCTTATAGGACTGAGCTCTTAACCTGTGGGACATGATGCTATTTCTAGGTAGACAGTGCCAGAATTTAGTTAATTGCTTGGTTATGTTGTAAATACAAACACACACACACACACACACACCAGACATATGTATAGTTGATGTGATATACTCTATTTTTAAATTAGGCTATCCCTGTTGCATTCTGTTCTTTTTCTTTATTTTTCAATGCTTGTGAACCCACCAAATTGAGGTCACTGTCACCACTGTGACCTGCACTTTGAAAACCTCTTAGAGAGTGAAAAGAACTCAGATGCTTCATGTGAGAGGTACAACTTGGTGGGAATCCCTGGCTTACTTCTTATTTAAAAGTGGCCTTGGGCAAGACTTCTTTGCACCTGAGGTCTCTCTCGGTAAAAGAGGACTGGTTGTATCTATATCTGAGGGTTGTTGTGGTGATTTGAGAAAAGGAATTAAAGTACTTAGTACAAAGACTTGACAAATGGTATCTATGGTTGGCTCTTTAATATCTACTTTGTGGGGATTAAAATAAGTAATGTATGTAAAGCACCCAGGCACACCGACCTGCAGTAATTGCTGGGCAGTTTCTACCTGCTCATGTGTAATAGAGACTCCGTATTTCTCACTAGCTGGGAGGTGTTGGCCAAGTCGCTCCCTGGGTGTCCATTTTCTTCTGCATAAAATGAGGGAGATGTGTGAATTGGCAATGAAACATCCCTCTGCTTATAGTAACAAGTACCAACATAGGTGTTATTGCTTCCAATTTTGAGATGAAAGCTAAATTGTAGCCAGATTACTTTGGGAAGAAGATTTAAATTAAACTTCCTCAAAGCTCTAGAAGGAAAACCACATATTTAAATAAATGCTTGCTTTTTTCAAATATTGGGTCTTTTGTTCCTTTTATTTTAAATAATGAACCAAGAAAATTGACCACAGACCAACCAACCAATTGCTGCTATATTTTTTTTAGAGATTCCTTAGGAGCCTCACTGAATTATAAAATGATGTTTTTTAATTTTTTTCAAGATTTTATTTATCTATTTTAGAGCGCGAGACAGAGAGAGAGCATGAGTGTGTTGGGGGAGGGGTAGAGGGGGCAGGAGAGGGACAAGGAGACTCCGCCCTGAGCATGGAGCCTGACGTCGGGTTTGATCCCACGACCTTGAGATCATGACCTGAGCCGAAACCAAGAGTCAGATACTTAACCGACTGAGCCACCCAGGTGCCCCTAAAATGATGTTGTTGTTTTTTTAAAGCAGAGCCACAAGTTCCTGTGGAATCATATCCTATTTCCTTCAGTCAACCCTGACTTAGAGTTGCCCCTAGGGTATCTCAAAGAGTGGATTTTCTCAGCCAGCTGGTGATTTAAAAGGGAATTGACCCATAAA